TAAAAAAACCTAGAGATGAAGTTAGAATTCTGTCAATTATGATTGAAAATGTCCACTGCTCTGGACAATTGCTCACAGCTAAAGAGAATAACCCGCAATTTTAGAAGAAACTGAGATACATTAATAGCAAAAGGTAGTTGCTTTCCTCAGGCTTACTTTATGCCTGAATAAGCATAAAATAATGGGATCACAATATAACTGCTCTGCAAGTTATCTGTATGTTCTAAGTGACTAGAATTACTTAAACTAAAAATTAAAGATCCTCCAGGAACCATGAGGAAGCCCTGAAGTTCAATCCTAATTCAGGAATGCAGTAACCACTCCTCAGAAGAGGAAGAATATTTAAATTTTTCTGAACAGGATAAGTGATTTGAATCTTCTTCAATCTAGAACAGGCTCTTACCTATGCTGCTAATTTATGAGGGAGATTGCAAACTCTCCTGTGAAAAAATCTCAAACCAAACACCTCTGAAACCCAAAGACTCAAAAAGCTGCTTCAAACACAGAAAGAAAGCAGTTTGAGGATAGATTGCAGGAGGGAAGAAGTAAATTCCCTTGTTGGTTGCTGAATAGTCCTGAAATTCTTTAATGCTGCTCCCTGCTTTCCATCCTCAGCAGATTTAGAGAATGTAGGAGCATAAAGCAGTTTAAAGCCACCTTTACTGGTGCTCTCTTCAGCAATAAAACCCAGAACTTTGGCATAATAGAGGACTGTGATGCAATTCACAAATACTTCATTATCTCAGTTTTCATCTACTGGAAACATAAGGTATTCCTTTATGTGCTTTAATGGGTACTTATATTTATTGTATGCTGGCTTTACCATTACTTCAGGAAACATCTTAGGAAAAGAATATGGAACATGCAAGGAACTGCACGGTTAGTCCAATAAAAGCAAATTCCACTACCCTTTGAAATCCTACCTGCAGCTTTCTTTCATCTGCTAACAGCAATAGTTATCACTGCCAACAACCTTTGAACAAAATTGTTATGTGACTTTTTTGCGCATATCCTTGATTTAACAAGAAAGATGGGGAACATCTGTGGGCAACTTCCACTGGGTATTTTTTCAGAAGCAGGAGATGTGAACTTCAATCTCAGGCTTCTAATACCCAGGTTTTCTGTTTCATGGAAGAGTCCCCTTACCTTGAGATTGTTTCAGCTAGTTTCTTAAAACTCTTCTGAGGGATTTTAGCAAGTTGACAGTATTAGACCAGCATTGTTCTGTCCCCATTTTTCCCATTCCCCCTTTTCAATAATAGTATGTAGCCTTACCCTCTTGTTTCTGCCAGCTGTTCCAAGACATCTGATCACTAATTTTTTTAATGTGTTCTAAGAGTGAGAAAAAGTCCTCCACAGCAGTCTGGCTTTCTTGGCATCATGCTAGTTTTCTGTGCTGTAGTAGAAAACTAATTGTCACATCAGTTTGTCTAGCACTGTTACAGCTATGGATTTTCATCCACAAATTCAATTCCTTAAATGAAGATGAGGTGTTATAACCTTGGCCATACCTGATGCAGAAAGAGATAACTTCTATATTGTTTATCTCAGAGCAGAAGATCCTGTACCACTGTGACAGAGTTCCTTCTGGAATCCTTGTGTCACCCAATACTACATTTCATACAGTACCTACAGCATTCCATCACTACATAGATATACAGTGACCATTACAAGGGAGATTTTAGGTTCTCTTTACAAACTCTTTGAAAAGAACCAAACCGCCTAATAAGTGTCCTGCAATTATCAGCATGAGACATTAATTTCATTTTGAATAAGAACTTCTTCCATTTCTCAACATATGAGAAAACACAGACTGGAAGTATGCAGCTAGTTACATTGGTAGCAACTTAAAATACATACAAAAAAATCTTAAAGCAAAGCAAATATGATTAAAAATCACCCACGACTCTTGGTAAAACGGTACCTTGTTAAATAGCAGAAGCTTGTGTAGATGTGCCTGCAAGAGAGTCCTAGTCATTAAATAAGGCTGTACCTGGTTAGTTCACTGCCATCTTACAAACTTTAATGTTTTAAACCCCTGCATTCTTGACAGAACTTTATCTAAATTCTTTGCCTTAGTCAGGCTGTAAATGTGATATTCAAACATGCTAGTCTTAAGTTTTATCACAAGGATAAAGTACTGCTCTACATTTTTACTACAGCAATTTAAAAATAAATTTCTATAAAGGCATTAAGAAACTGTGTGCAGGCACTCTATTTAACCAAGCATTAAAATTTCTTATACATAAGAGATAAAACTTGATTCAAAGGTAATTTTTACAAGCACACACATTTTTCTTCTTCCCCCACTTTCTCTATTTGAGACATGGGATTGAAAAAAATTGCTTGCTGAATGCAACGAACAGCTGAATTCAAGCACAATTCCTTTCCAGAACCTCCACAGCAATTCAACCAACAGGGGGCTGTCTGGCTACACGATGTTATCAAATCTATAGTGAAATCCTTTTCCTGACTGTACAACCTACCATTCATGCACACTTCCTAAAATTAGTTGAAGAGCAAGTCATTTAACAGATTTCATACTTCCAAAACATTAGAGTTCTTGTCCATCTTTGTCTCACACTACTGAAAACCTCATATTTTTGATCTGAGAGTTCTAGTATAGATGGATAATATAGCTTTATTTATTGATGTGTCTGAAAACAGATATTGTTTGTTGGAAAAGGGAGAGACTTTCACATTGCCTTGATAATAAGAGGCGTATCACAGCTGCTTCCAGATGCTAAGAAGCTATATCTATATGAGCTTTCTTGTACTGGTTTCGTATGTTGATCTTTTGTACAAGAAACAAAATAGACCAAAATGTTTTTAGACCCTTTGATATTGCCTGTCTGTTCCCTAAATCAAAGTATGAGTGTAGTAGTGCCAAGAAAGGAAGAATAAGGTCCTGAATATTCCTTACAGTGATTTAAGCAATGTAAATGGACTTTAAAACTGGAGTGCCAGTCTCGGGAGTGAAGGGTATTTTCTCAGTGCTTACAGCAAGAACGTTCAGCTGGCTGAGCTTACCAAAAATGAACCTAAAGTCATTCAGTGAAACCATCAAACACATATGAGTGCTGGGGTAATAGTGAAGGAAACAACAAGACTCATTCCCAAACTTGTCTGGCTCAAGAATCACAAGCCTGTAGAACCACAGTCTTACATTATTGTTGACTATTGTAGCTGGTCAAATATAACTCCCGAAGCTCTTCCTTTGCCTTTATTTCAATAAAACATTAACAATTTATACATTTGAGACTATCTATGCTCTAATTTATGCCTTATATACTTCAAATTTTATAATACTTAAGGGTTTTTTGAGTATTTGTTGAGAGATTCCAAAATGTTTTGCTTTTAAAACCACTTAGAAACATAAAAGCTGCTGACAGAAGGTTCTTTTATGGGCAATAAAGCCACACACTTGCCCTGCAGAAGCATTGGGAAATGTGAAGCTTGCTATCCATGTCTGACTCCTATGGCTATAAACAGCAGAAGAAAACACCAGATATATTATTCCTATCTCTCAAGAGAAACTAAGCCTCTAACTACTATGCACTGTATACTTTAGATTGAAGATACAAACTAGATAAATGCTGCTATAATTAATATGTTAATTTCAGAACAATTTTGAACATATGGCTCAAATTTTACATTAAGCGGCAGAAGCAATACAAGTAATTTTATTTATTGACAAATACAGAGCAATTATAAGTGAATAAAACGTGGAAAAAAGTGACTTGCACCTGACAACCACTAAATAGCTTCTAACAAACCATTTAGAGTGAAAAAGAAGTGCTCCAATGATTATTATCCCCCTCACAGAAAGACAATCGATGTCACTCATGCCATTGCCTTTCCCTATCATTTTTTTCTTATTTCTCTTTATAGTTGAATATTTTATTGTGATACATACAACCGCCACCTTAGAAAGGAGATTTGCATATATCTCAGACATAAATTTTACTTCAAATACATTTAAAATGTTGTTTTTTACGTGAAGAGTTGCTGCTGCTGTTACACTGGTTCAATAGCAGCTCACCCCTTTGGACATATTTCTATCATTTGTTGCAACTTCTGTGACAGTAGGTTGCAATGAAGATAAAGGGAGTCAAAACACTTCAAATTCAACCATTACTGCTAATGTGACTACCTGATTAGAAGACACTTCCTCCAACACTTAAAAAGATACCATGACTAAGGGAAAAGCTGAAACACTTTCAGATTATTTTATCCAAATTTCTAGCACAGACCACTCTTTTAGCAAAGTGTGCCATAGGCAGTACCAAGAAAATTGCCTTTGAAATTTGAAGAAAATGGCTGTAGAAGTCCTAAATATTTAGGTCACTTTACACTTAAATCACTTACTTAGGTCACTTAAGTCACTTTACATTTTTAGAGATGCAGTGCTTACCACTGTACATTAAGAAATTGTTACAATTTAACTGGATAATCCTTTCCAGAAAAGAGATCTTCACAGGTAAATTTATTGTCAAATATGCTGAAGTTCAAACATGTACATTACCTTTAGCATATAGAAGATTTTGCAGAATGTTGATGAAACATACAAAGATGACAAGCAAAAAATGGCACACACAAGTCTTTAATAATGAATTATATTTGCAAAATGAATCGGTGACAAGACAGGACACAAATCAGAGTATTTTGGAGTTCACAGGACTGCAGAAATAGATCATGAACCAACAGCATGGAAACTCTGTTTCCCACTCTGAGCTGGTAACAAGGAAAGTTGATTGCAGATCTAGTCTTTAAAAGATGCATAGTACTCACCTCTTCCTCCGAAATCAGAATTAATAAATGCCATAGAAAATTCCATGAGGAAATGCATTACTGCAGTACAGCTACTAAACAAAAGTAGCCAACAGCCATCAATATATGTGCCCATTACCCCTATTATAAATGTGACATGGAGGCACAGAAACTATCATAGTATGCAACAGTTTGAAGTTCCCTTTAAGAAGACAGGAGACTGTCGGACATAACTTTACAGAGTATTTTAATTCAAATGACAACTTCTAAGAAGCTCAGCTACCAATGTGAAGCACAATGTTTCTTTCAGACATGAGTCTTAAATCAGACAACTCTAAAGTAAAGCACAATATACACACTACAGAACTAAGGGCCTGGTTACCTGTCCAGCATCACATGAGAATAAAGGCAGAAAAATAAACATCACATCCAATTCTTAGGAATTCTTACTTGGCATAACCATGAAGACATACATGGTTTTCTGTACTTGCAGCCATTTGTTCCACTGCCTACAGAATTTTTTACAAATTTCTTATTAGCAGCACTTATAGCAACATCAGGTTTCTTCTTGCACAGTCCACAAACATCTTCCCTGGCCCAGCACCCCAACAGGCTGAACCTATCAATAGATTAAACATTCTGTGTGATCATGAAGATTGCTTCATAGTATACTGACACAAGGGGGCAAATGAAGATTGCAGAATCTTAGAGCTGGAGTTACCTAACTTCTTAATGTTTCATTTTGTGACCTTCTTGTTCTTTTTACAGTTATTAGCTTGTGCTTTCCCCCCGCCCTCAAAAAAATGTTTCCTCCTTTGAATTCTAATTTCCCTTATTAGAGGAAGCATTTTATTTACTTCCACAGAAACGATGACAGAACTGAAGAATCTTTCACATGAAGAAAGGCTGAGTGATCTGAGACTCCAGCCTGGAGAAGAAAAGGCTTGTGTTTGTGTGATCTCAGCAATGGTTCTAAATGCCTGCTGGTGGGGGTACGGGAGAGTAAAGAAGACATAGCCAGGCTCTTCTCAGCTGTGTCCAGAGATAGGGAAAGAGGCAACAAGTAAGAAATTAAGTACATGAAATTCTAGCTGAACAGGACAGGCTGCAGAGTCTCCATCCTTGAATCTATTCAAAATTGACTGCACATAGCCTTAAAGAAATTACCATGTTTGAATTAGGGATCTCCCTTACAACCTCAACTACTATTACTTTGGGATTTCTTTTCAGGACCAAAATCCATGAAGTAGCTGAGGGTACTAACAGGCTTGCCCTCTTCTCTGTGGAATATGATGACAGAGATGAAATTGACCGTGATTTCCTATATGACAGCAAAAGCTACTACTTAACAGTCTGCATTCCCTTCTAGATCTGAAGTGCAGAGCACCCCAGTGAATGTTAGGAATCATGTGAGGAGCACAATCCCCTTTCCCTAAGCCTGACTCATTCTCTTTGCCTCAAGCTATATACCCTCATCAGGCTGCTGCTTCTTCCAATTGCAATAAACAAACAAACCCCCAAATCTTTGCCCAGTGTATTTCAATCCTTCTGATTTTCCAGTTAATCAAGTCTGTCCTTCCTGTATCTGTTCTCAACGCCAACCTTTTAACATCACATTTTTAGACATGCTCCTAACACTAGTTGTCTTCACTCATATAAAGCTACTAGTCTGGGTTTATTTTCAAGCAGGCCCATCTTTTCTTGCTTTTTTATGTGTACTAAGTATCTTTTCCCCATACAGTTCCTAAGCCTAGCAGAAAATAAGCACTTGAACTGAAAACAGTGAGCCTTCCTTTCTTACATCAGGCACGGTCCTTAGGACCCCAGAGCTGCAACACAAAGCGAGTTCTATCCAGCCATAGTCTCCGGCACCACCCATAGAGGCAAACCTCTGGACAATATAACCGCTAACATTAAATCACCTGTGAACCATGTGAGAAATGTAACATTCTTTTCAAAGGTTTAGGAACTGAATCATTTGCGTAGGGCCTTCATAAGCACTTGAAGTAGTATTCTTAATCCAGACTGGTTCCTCAGTTGAACTCTGGTTCTGCAAATGCTCAAACTGTGTTTTCACCATGTCACTGAACTATTCTAAGCCGCTAGGGCCACAAAACAAGGCACTCCAACCTTTGCCCTTCTGCTTCTTCCTGCTCCCTGCTATTTCCTGCCCTTGTGCCAGTGATAGGAGTTTGCATGGTGAACCAGAAGGAAGCACAGTCTGTTTCACTCTTTGCACAAAGGCTAACACGAGCACAATGAAGTAGTCAGGAACAGTTTGGCCACTGGACTTTGACAAAGCCATGCAAATAGACTTATTTGTTGTATACTCAAGTCTCTGATGAGCTCTTTAGATTCACATCTACTCATAGAAGTCCCTGGGAAAAATCCTGGGTACATTAAAATACTAGATCTACAAGAGCAACTGGATGGATGGCCTGCTGCAAGAACCAGTCTGGAGCATGCTGAAAAAAATATCAGTGACCTTAAAGGTCTTTCCAAGCATTTCTAGGTCTTCAAATGGCTGAAGTGTATGTGTAGGTCTTTAATATTTAGCAGTTACATAGTGCTATTTGAAGAAACTCAATGAGAAAGCTATACAACTTTGAGCCAGCTAAGAAATTTTTTCTAAGCAGACCACCTCGTTTTGGTCATGTACCTTAAGAGAAACGTAGTAGGTAAATGTGCACACATGTGTTCTTTATGAAAAGTTGTAGGCTATCTAATTCTGCATAGCTGTGCCATTGAAAATTGCTCAGGTCTGAACTAAATCAGAAATTTTAGCCATTAATAATTTTGCCAGTTTAAATCCATAGCAGTAGTAGACAGAGTGTGATTTTAACCAGTCTGAACTTCTGAAATATGGTCAAATCATGCAAAACTATGAATTGTAACAACTTGGATTCATATTTGTCTACATCGTGTTTGTACCTGTGCAACTGCACCAGCAGCAGGCCTGTGAAGGCTAAAATAAAAATAAATCTTGAGTGCAAGTAAGTTTTTTTTCCTCCTTTTAAAACATCTATATGATATATTAACTTGACTCTGTGAGCACCTATTTGAATAAGGTATGTGTATTTTAAATGGTAAAATACAACAGGGCTAATAAAATTAGATTAGCAAGTGATACTGAGTCATGATAGTGAAGAAAATAAATTCTTAAAAGGAAACACACTTTCAGATCTGTATCTAAAATTAGTGACATTTACATAACCATTAGTCTACATTTGACTCACCACACAGTTCTTGCATGCAGCTTTTAAAAGGAAAGGAGCCCAAGTAATTTCCATTCTCACTGCAGCAATTTCAATCATCTCAATGAAAGATTCTCCTGCAAGAGAAAAATCTTAGTGGAAGATGAGAAAAAAATTAGTAAATTCACAGTCAGACATACAGTTTAAACTTCTAACCATAGAACTGTTACCTGTATCTAGCCCAGTCGTTTAAGAAATGAAGTGGTTAATAAGTTTTGTTTAAAAAATTGGAAGGCACTTCTTTTTTATGAGTTCTCTTTGCTAAAATCATGACTAAAAACTTCTCAGTTCCACTAATTTAGAAAAGGTTGTAAAAATGAACACAATTTTAAGAGTTTTAATAAAGAAACGTGCTGACAATTAAAGTAATAATTTTTATAGTTTTTAAATATATAAACAAACACACTTACCAAAGCATTGTTAGACAGGTGTAGCTTGAGATGGCTCCTTTAAAAAGTTCAGTTTTCACATAAACCAAAGCAAAATTATATTTATATCTATTCTATATTTACCATCAGATACTATGAAGCTCTAAATACAGTTTCTGAATAAATGAAAATACAAAAAAAAAGCTAAGAAAGTGTTCATATACAAAGAAAATATAAATTATAGCAACAAAAAGGCATAGGAAACACATGCAATGTCCTGTTCCATGACTCGCGTGCAGAAGTGACTAGCCTTACTTCAGCAGCACAGTTAATACTGGAGATATTTACAGTCTTAACACCAATATTTACGTGCTGCTAAAGTATGACAGACATCAGCATCACAAGATTGACTAATTCATAAGTGGTATGTCTCTTCAGGGTGATGAAATCCTTGTATTTTTGAGGCAGCACAATATGGCCTGCACCTTTTCAAAACCCACAAACCATTATGTGCTGCTACGTTATGCCAAGGTGTCTACCATGCTTCAAGGAAACAGAAACATCCTCTCAGTGCTGAATGAAGAATTTTCTTATTGAACTTTAGCTTCCATTTAGTAAAATCAGTTGTATTAATGAACTACAAAATGTTTAGAAAACATCTGTCCATTGCCAAGCTGACTGTTTATTTACAGTGAAGCTCTAGTGTTATATGCATAACACCTTAATGGGACATGAACCACAAACTGGACAACTGTGTGTCTGATTAGAGGAGCTAAAGATTATGCAGATGTTTCTTTCAAAAGAAAACAAAAAAATCTGGGCTATTTTCTAATCTAACCTTTTGTCATCTAGAAACTCAGATGTGAAAAGAAAACCCCAACAACGTTCATATGTAAGAGAGCAAGAATCTAATTTCAAAATAAGCTTCTGTCAACTATTCTATCAGTCCTCAAGCCATTTGTTAGATCTGCAGCTTACTCTTAATGCAATTTTTGGGCAGATGGACTCAAGAGAGTCTTAATTTCTGAGTGGAAAAAAATTTAAAAACCCACAACAGCTGTTAGCAAGAATAGTAACTTATCTGTTACTATGAGCAGGAGTTCATCTGCCCACAGCCTAAAATGACCATGCTGCTTTACTTGAAGTAGGCAAGAGATGTGAAGCTCACATCCCTGCTAGGTATCATTTTCTTAGACTAAAGAATTCCAGAGATTTAAGTGTGTGCAGCCCTTTCACTAGATATCTAGGCTGCCTAGATAACATGAATTACACTTTTTTATACTAAACTGTTAGGACAAAAGCTACTTACACAGCACAGACCCAAGCACGCCACTCCATTGCAATATGCCTTCTAGTCAGGTCATGACAGACAACTTCTGGAAATTAACAGGGCTATCTGGAAGCACAAAAAGAGATTTGGCAGGCCATGTTGGGGAAAGATTGGGGAGTTTTTCTTTTCTCCCTTCCTATTTTTGTTCTTACAGTAATACAGCAGGGCAGTATCTGCTAGAAGAGTCCATTGCCAAAAATGTGCCAATTAAAGTGAGATTGCTAGTGTAAATTTACAAGGTAACAGTAGCAACACGTTTTATGCAGTTTATCCAGGTAGGAATGCTAACTTTAGGAACTGCATCAAAGAGCCAATTCCAGTATATTTTATACATTCACAGCCATATTTACACTTATCCCCATCCCACCTCTTACTACCTATGTTTGTTTTTAAATCAGCTAAAATAGGCAAACTAAATTAAATAGGCACGACTTACCCAACTTACCATGGTGAATTAAAGCAGGAGTGCAAAGTCAAAATAAAACTATACTGTAAACGTATGCTCTGACAGTTGGTCTCTCCCCTGAAGAAACTGTGCTAGGCATAAACCAAGGGAAGAAAAGGACAAAATCTCCACCGTATATATATATATACACACATACATACATATATATGTGTAATATGGAAAGTTATATATAAAGATAGATGTGAGCAAAAATACTAGCCAGCAGTAAAGGATTTACTTCAATTTTTCTGGGAAAAGAGTATGAAAAATGTTCTCTAGCAAGAAAAAGATACTGCTTTGAACTTCTAGATTTACCTTAAAAGCCTGAAAGAAAATTACTTAAATAAGACAGCTGCAACATTTAATACCTTTGGAAGTGCATTTCTCATTCTTACATTCAGGCCAAATTCTTCATTTGAAACTCCATATGTTTAACTGATACTATTCTTTCAATTGCCTGGTTGATTTCAAATTCTAGCTTAAGTATGGAAGGTTTTTTTTTCCTGTTGCATAACTAAATCCCTCTGAAATTAACCTATACACACCATGAAATGAAGACTGCATGAATTACAGGATTCTGAGCTGTTTGAGTTTTTTTTGTTTGGTTGGTTTCTTTTGTTTGTTTGTTTGTTTTAATGGTTTTGGAAGGTGATCTGTTGCCAGGTTTTTTTTTAAACTTTACTACAAAATGCCCTGAAAGAAACCAACCAATCCAAGATTCAACACAATGTGACTGTATGTTTTCTACACTGCTATTAAAATAGATATAATCTTCAAAGAGAATAAGCAAATTATCACATAAAATTGAAGGCAGTGTATTTGAGAGAAGGGGTTGTGGAACAGGAAAAGGATGAAAGGAGGAAGTCTAAGATAAGCGTGCTCATAACTGAGCCAGGAATCTACTGAAATTCAGGAGTGTCTGTACAAAGCTATGTACCATGATGTTTTGGTGATAAAGTCAATATAGTTGTTGCTAAGAGTGCTTCTCTTACCTCCATCCTTGTGTCTTAAGTCTGTGGATGAGAAACAGACAAACAAAGGAGACCTCAACAAAAGCTAGGAATCATGTATGCAAGCAGCTCCACTATATTTCCCAAGTCCCTAAAAGCAAGAAGGATTCTGAAGATGTAAAACTGAAATTCCACAGAAGCAGCTCATATACACAAGTCAGGAATGGTCTTTGAAAAAAAATACTGGAACTGTTAAAAAAAAAAAAAGAGAAAGGAAAAAAGAGAGTGTGTATGTGTACATGTATTTGTGCTTGTTTTAGCAATTGGAGTGCTCCCAAGCAATGAAGGAGCCTTTCTTTGATTTCAGTATTTCTTAGCTAATTTATCAAAGACCAAGCCCAATATAAAATATCATTTTCGGTTTTTATTGTTTATACTTAGGAGTCTATGACAATACCAAGCTAAACTCGGCCTTTTCTGACCCTATGAACACCAGCTACAGGTCAATTTCTGGCTACTATACATACTAATAAACTCCTTAAATACTACTATAACTACTAATAAGCTCCTTAAACTTGTATGAAACTTGTATACCCAAAAAGTTACCACTAGGCCTGCAATCTGATAGGTCAGTGACTTGAAGTACACTACACCAATGCCTTTGTATTAAACACTGTATGCTGTCTCTAATACCCAAGAACATGATGCAAAATTAAACACTTACCCTGTGCCTTTTGGTCATACAAAAAAAGCACTCTCTTGATACTTCTTGGCCAAAACCTCTTCCTTATCAAGAATGTTATACACCATTGCTCACAACCATATTCCATTGCTTTTGTTCCTTACTCATTAATGCAAAACACAGATCCAATATGAAAGCAAGGCTATTGCTTCACTGTTTATTGTGACCCTTTCCCAATCTTATTTCAGATTAAAATTAGAAAACTGAATGTGAATCTGAAAGACTTAAGTGTTCTACACTGTAAATGCATTACATTTGTCCACCACAGCCCTGACATCAGCAATTACATGTCCATATCTCAGTTTTCCCAGGTTAGCTTAGTTTAACCAGAAATGAGACAGGGTTTGCACTGAGATGGCACAGCATGAAGTGTGGCATCTTTGACAAGTGTGTCCTGCTCTGTGCATTCCATTAATGGAGTAAGTTACTTCTATGTTAGACAGGACATTTTGCAGTGCAGCTTTTTGGACAACTGTTAGTGAATTTGCCAAATTTGCCATGCTCTCCTCTCACAGTTCAGCGCCACTAACATACCACTAAATATGAATAAACACCATGGCAGTTCAACACTGGAAAATACTTTTAGGTTTTATTGAATTAATCTGGGAAAAATAATTAGAGATAATCTCACTGTTCACTACCAAGGAAACACTTCCATTCTCTAAGATTTTAAAATCTAAAAGTGTATGTAGCTGTATCTTTCTCATACACTGTTTACACCCCTCCCTCCAAGTTAAAACAATAGTTTCATTTTACTTTTGTCATATGCTTACTCAACACTGCAGTATTTATACTGCAAACATAAATTTATAACTCTTGTTCATTCTTGCATCTAAGATTTAGAAATATATTATTTTACTCCTGCCTTCTAGTTTCTTTGTTAATGAACCATCTTTCCATCTAATTTGTGAGGTCAGCAGCCTTTAAAGTGATATGCATTTATTTTTTAAAAGAAGACGAGACTCCACTGAAATATATCAAAACATTAACTTTAAAGGCATCAGTGTATTTTCAGCTACTATTCCATTATTATTTGGTTCAGGCATAACCTACAAACTCAATTCTTCTTCCTCTGACCAGAAAGTAACCTTAATTAAGTTGAGTGAATTAACTAGGAGAATAAACTATATACCCTGATTGCTCTTCTACCAAAGTAACAGTGAGATTTTAAATTACTGTTTAAGACTGCAGTTCTAAAAATTAAAGAATTAAATAATTTTTAAAGAATCTGTCGCTAAACTAGCAATTTCATTGCATATGGGTTGTTTTTTACAATTAAATAACTAACACAATAAATTTGCCTCACTTCACCTCAAAGAGGTACAGTAATCTAGGACCAAGCTTATACACTCTCTCCATCTATAATAGATCCTCCCATACCTTCTAGCAAGCAGCTGAATATTTCTAAGACTATCAAAAAGTTGTGTAAAAAAAGAAAATCACAAATAATGCTTTAAACAATTCTCTGAACAAAAAGATTAATATTTGAAGAGATAACTAGCACTATTTTAGTTTTGGTAGCACAAACTTTGACTAAAAAAAAAATTTGCGTGTTCACTATTTCCTGATTATGCCAGCAATACTCCCCATATAACCATGGCAAAAGACTGGGAGAATTACATATTTTGCAACGTGAAGTATTAATAACTAAAGTAAAGCAGATGACTGCCGATTACTGAAATTTACTGCTACTAAATTTGGAGAATCTATATCATGTGTCCAGCCATTTCTCCAAGGATCGTGAACAAACAGATTTAGACTAGCTGGAGAACTACTGCATAAGATAAACATGAAATAACAAAGCCAGCTAAAAATAAAAACCAGGAAGTAAAACCATTGAGAAATTCAGAAGTATAAAAATACCTGGAAATTTAGAAGTGCAGTTAAGGACTCTCAGCATCAAATTCTGTTTTACACCG